GAGTACTGTAGGAGTTTGGCTTTCGGCTTGTACAATTCGTTTTCGCAAAGCTTCCCTTTCTTTACTTATCTTTGATATTTATGACCCACCCAAGTTGGGTGGTGTGCTGCTTTGCTGCTTCGAATTGTAGTTAGACCGCTTTGTCAAATATCGTACTGGTCTCGTCATCGTCCAGTAACAATCGACATTCTTTGTTCCGTTGGGACTGTAGCTTTTGCTCGTTTTCGTTGCGCTTGCCTTCCCCTCTTTGGTCTTTCCATAACCTTGAACCTTCCAAGTTGGAAGGCTGTCGGTTAGCGCTACGGAGATGTGTTGAAGTTAGGTGTCAGGACGTCGAATGTCTCAGTACTCTGTCAGTTTTGTGCCTAGTTATTGCACTTTCTGACTGTATATAGTATCATGTTACAGTGATGGAGAGTTACTCTTAACTCGTATCCATATGTCCTTTTCTCTTTTACATTTATTTATGGCTCAACATCCGAGTTTCAAATAATAATAATAATAATAATAATAATAATAATAATAATATTAATAATAATAATAATAATAATAATAATAATAATAATAATAATAATAATAATAATAATAATAATAATAATAATAATAATAATAATAATAATAATAATAATAATAATAATAATAATAATAATAATAATAATAATAATAATAATAATAATAATAATAATAATAATAATAATAATAATAATAATAATAATAATAATAATAATAATAATAATAATAATAATAATAAGGCCAAACTAAAGAAGGTGTGTGGTTCGACTAACATGGACATTTTTTTTACGGGCGGGCGGGCGGATTTTTTTTTTTTTAATATATTTTTTAGTACATGTAAATACACTGTATACGCGTATCGAGTAGACTCTACTACCAGCACAAGGCAGCAGTCGTACCACTCACTGCACTGCACTGCAGTACAACTACAAGTCAAGTCCAAAAGGAGCCGCCTGCGTCCGCAGACTCACGCCGCACAGCACGTAGACGTGGACGTGTTCAGTCCACGTACGTCAGTCACACGACAGCCCGCCGAAAAAAAGTTACGGTCGGGCTGAAATTGTACGGTCGGTCGGGTGAGTCGAACCACACACCTTCTTTAGTTTGGCCTAATAATAATAAACTAGATGATTACCCCCTCGTGGAGATATTGGAGGATTCATGTGACAGCAGTTCTACATCGACATCTGACTCTGATTCGTCTCATCCTTCCGATACTAGCTCTGATTCTGAGAGCGGCAGTGACCCGGAGGCGGAGGAATTGTTGAGAGGTGGCATATCTTCATCTGGGTATCGTTTGCTGGACCTGAATTGTCTGCAAAATATAATTTCCCAAATTGTAAAACTTGTGGAAGTGGACTTGTTGTCAATGAGACGCATCGTGCTGGTCTGGCTAGCATTGTTAGCATTGCTTGTACCAGTGATGAGTGTGAGTCTGAGCTAGCAGAGTTTCCTCTAGTGCCCAAGTCCAACCAGTACTTCTTTGACTGTAACAGGCGCAGCGTTTTGGCGGCGCGCGCAATTGGTCGTGGCCACAGTGGACTGCAGCGATTTTGTGGAGTGATGAATCTCCCACCCCCCGTGTCCAAAGCGGCCTTTCAACGCCACCAGCGGAAAGTGCACTCAGCTGCAAAGTCTATAGCTGAAAGTAGTATGCAACAAGCTGTTGCAGAAGTGAAGGCCGTGAATGCCGAGAAAGAGCCCGCAGACTGCACTGTCGCTGTCACATTCGACGGCATGTGGATGAAACGGGGCTTCACGTCCCTGCATGGTGTGTTCACATGCATTCATTGGGAAACAGGCCGCGTCCTTGATCTAAAAGTGAGCACAAAGTATTGTCAGGCCTGCAAGCAGTGGAAAGAGAGGAAGGAGCACAATAAAATCAGTCATGGGGAGTACACAGCATGGAAGGATGGCCACTCTGCAAACTGCCCTGTCAACACGCAGCGTTCTTCGCCCGGAATGGAATCCGAGGCCGCAGTTGTGTTGTGGCAGAGGTCTGTGGAGCGGAATGACCTGCAGTACAACATTTTCATTGGTGATGGGGACTCCAAGAGCTTCACAGCAGTGAAAGATGTGCAGCCATATGGCCTGAATGTGGAGATCACCAAGGAAGAGTGTGTGGGCCATGTCCAGAAGCGGCTGGGCACACATCTTCGCAAGCTGAAGCAGACCATGAAGAGCGAAAAGCTGAGTGATGGGAAGCCTCTTGGAGGGAAGGGAAGACTGACCGACCCGCTTATTGACACACTGCAGACATACTATGGGAAGGCCATCAGATCCCACCCGAATGACCTCCAGAGTATGGCGAAGGCAGTATGGGCTGGCCTGTTCCACCGTGCCTCGACCGACGAGCACCCCCAGCACATGTTCTGTCCTACTGGACCAGATAGCTGGTGTGGCTGGCAGCTTGTCCAGGCTGGCAAGGAAGAGGCATATGAGCATCATAACACCATTCATGCAGCTGTCGTCACGGCCATCAAGCCAATCTACAACACACTGACGACGCGCGCTCTTCTGCTTCGCTGCCTGAGGGGTGCTACCCAGAACCAAAATGAGGCCTTTAATGGTATGATATGGTCCTTGTGCCCCAAAACGTCCTTCTGTGGTGCTGCTGTCGTGGAGATAGCAAGTTACCTTGCAGTGGCCCAATTCAACCATGGCTCAGTGTCACTGCTCAAGGTGCTGTCGAGCATGGGCTGTGATGGCGGCTACTTCACGGAGGCGTTTCTCGTACAGCAGGATGCAGAAAGAATGGCAGCCGCAGAGAGGAAGGTCAAGGAAGCAGAGAAGAGCCCCAGGAAGCAAAGGAGAAGGCGCAGGAAAGGCCTAGAGGAGGAAACAATGGAGGAAGAAGGTGACACATATGCAGCTGGTGGATTCTAACTAGGTATACGGTGCCTTTTCTACATCCGAAACTTTGCCCCAAATGGGGTATGCCGGGAGACTTGCCGCAAGATATCTCTGCGGTTGTTGCTGCTTGCCCTCGAAACCTATACATTTTTGGAAACTAGACAGAATTCCCCAGGGAATGAATGGAGTAGTTTTGTATTTTTTCCCCCTCTGCATCAATATAATTCTATTTTGAAATCAGTGCATCAGGCTTTGCGTGCTATGGACAAAAATCTGGTGCCTATTGCTTGGTCAGGCTTTCTGATTCACAAAATCCCTTTCATTCATTCCCGGCCTATTCCATGTAGGAACATCGTAACATAAAGCTTTGGCCTCTCAGTGTCCTCTTGTTTCAGCAATGCTGCGGCCCAGTAACCCGTAGCGTGCGCGATGAGTTCGCCTTCTACTGCTTGCCGTGAATCGCCTGTATTTAGGATAATATCCTCATTTTAACCACACATCCAACCCATTACTACCCAAGAACACCTGTACCAAATTTGGTTGGGATCCTCCGAAGGAGTTCTGAGTTACGGGTCTTTGAATCTGGCCTGTTGTTTGCTGCCGCGGCCAGGGTATACTCCCACCGACCAGGTAGCAGCCTGGTCGTAAATTTCATAATTATGGCATTCAATTGACCGTAACTAACTTTGGTGTCTCTCAATGGATTTGAGTGAAATTTTCACCACACACTCCTGCCACTATGCTGGCCCTCTGGACATGATTTAAAAGTTCTTGCGCCTCACAGACAGGCTTTCCAGGCCGGAAAAACTCAAAATTACGGCATAGTGCCACGGTGTGCGAGCCACCCAGGAGCCAAAAAATGCATTTACAATTTTTTCACATTTTTTTGCCCATTCTGTCCGTGCGCGGGATTCAACCCTAAAAAAAGTCCAGAAGCAGCCATGGCCCATGGGTGGTGGGATAGAGCCCCTCAACATGGCCCTGGAATCTGTCACAGCGGCACGAGTGGGCGTTCTCTCGCGGACTCCCACAGACCCAAGTCAATTTTTGAATTTTTTTAGGTTTACGGCGTGCTACGAGGTCGTACCTTTAATACAACATCCAGTGCTAGCATGCTGGGACCTCCACAGCAAGCCATTTCCACAGAGCTGCAAACCAAATACAGGATACCCTCAAAAATCGGCAAAGACTACCACTCACATTTCACTACTGCCTAGTACTGAATCCTACCTGACTTCTTGACACGTAGGCCTTTCCCAAATCGGCCGGCCGAAATATTCGCCGAAAAGTAGCCTTTTCAGAAAATCGCCGATCTTTTGGCCGAATTCTGAGATTTTACCAAGAAATCGCCGAATATACATGTTTTGCAGGGTCGTGGGCAACTGGGCATGACCGCTCGTGCGCGCCTGCGTCACGGCCCGTGGGCATTTCCCAAATCGGCCGGCCGAAACATTGGCCGAAAATAGTGGTTTTGAAGAAATCACCAATCTTTGAGCCGAATACGCAATTTTCGCACTGAATTCGCCAATAATTGATGTTTTAGCGCCTCAATAGCATGCAAATACAATTTCTGTAGCCATTATCTGGGAAAGGTGGCTGCGACTTTAGAGCCGAATCAAGTTCCACCTTTTACAACAAAAAATTTCAGCCGATTCTGGCGATTTTTTCAGCCGATCAAAAAGCCGAATAGGCCAAAATAAAAGGCCGATTTGGGAAAGGCCTATTGACACGACTCAAACTTGCCAAAGTCACTAAATCAAAGTCAACTACAATAATCAAGCCACATATCTGCAACGTCACGAGGGTGCTGGCAAAAGCCGTGCAGCCCAATACATGGCTAAAAAACGTGATTTTTGGACTTGGAGCAAAATTCTGCACACTTTCACGTCTTTCCATGATACGACAAGTTGCGCACGGTCTGCTCACATTCAAATACAGTGCTGCCAAAAAATGACAGCGAGCAACAAAAAAATATGTTCTTGCTCTTTCAACTGGACTAAAGACAGTAGGCTACCTGAGCCAGCACAAGCTAAACTCCTCTACTCGTGCCCTGTGACCGCTGACTGGTGAACCGATTTGAAAAATAGGACGACCGGATGCGGGTCTTCACGTTCACACAAAGGCAACAAGAGGAATAAGAGATCAGTTTCATCAAAATGCAAATTGTATACGTCGTTTCGGCGAGCTGTTGCGGTCATAATAGCGAAATTAAAACTTTGCATGCAAAACCAAAGTCGAAAATAGACTAGATATGCAGGGAGATACTGCTATCTTCAAATTATACTTCTCACTCCAAGAGGGAGAAAAGACTGAGGTCTTTAACTTAATGGGGTTAGCTATTATTGTTATGCATGAACTGAAAATTACTGCTCAAGAAGTGGAGATTGCTGGCCTGCAGACAATGCTTTTAAAAAGAGGATCATCCGAATGTGCATGTGTTCCGGGTAGAAAAGGGTATAACAATGGCAAGATGCTGAGATCATCACAGTATGGTTGTGCACCTCTTGGCACCCACTACCAAATTCTGCACAACATGTGCCAGCAATAGCAGCAAGGTTGCAAAAACAGTACATGGTAGTGTGTGTGTGTGTTTGTGTGTACATGTGTGTCTGTAAGTACATGGCTGCATTGTATGTGTTTGTGTGTGTTCATGTTCATGTGTGTGTGTGTGTGTGTGTGTGTGTGTGCGTGTGTGTGTGTGCGCGCGCATGTGCGATTGTGTGTATGTATGTGTACGTATGTGTATGTGTGTAGACCAAGCAACGTGAAACATCACCACTACTGCTGTCATCGTAAGACAGTTCTCTCTCTCTCTCTTTCTCTCTCTCTCTCTCTCTCTCTCTCTCTCTCTCTCTCTCTCTCTCTCTTCGGAGAAAACATGTGACCTTTCTAGTACACAATAGGACAAAGGCACGCAACTACATGTGTATGTATTGTATGTGTGTGTATGTGTGTGTGTGTGGGGGGGGGGGGTACGTGTACATATTTACAGGTACATGTGTGCATGTGTGTGTGTGTGTGTGTGTGTGTGTGTGTGTATGTGTGTGTGTGTGTGTGTGTGCTTGTGGATGTTTGATTTGGAATGTACATGTAAAGGAGGATGGGGCAAAGAATAATGGAATGAAATTGTTACTTAGGTCTCAACAATGAATGTTACGATCATCTGCAGAGGAATATAGCTGGCTATATCAGAGTATCAACATTATGGTTTAGAATGATGCCAGGTCACACAGATCACGGCTAGTGTTAGCAGATGAACTGCTGCATTTCTGCAATTCACCAGCCAGCCAGTAGAAATGTATAACTTAGTACGCATTGAGATGTTGGTCAGGGGAGAGGGAAGAGGGGGAAAGCCGGCAATACTGTTCTTTATGCATAGACCAAGCATAGTTGCACGTCTCGTCAAGAACCCAGACTAACAAATGAGTGAAGCAGCTGTTGGTTAATGGCCACTACCAGGGCTTCAATCACTGGGCCACTTACATGTATCTACTGATCTGCAACGAGTACACTGGTCTATGATCAAATGACATGCTGCTTGACTGACACACCACGGGGCTTTACCCGTGGTACTTGGGTTGCCGGTGCTGCTGGCACGGATCTTCTTTGCTGTGCACAGAGATAATAATCCAGAGTTGTCGTGCACAGAGATAATAATCCAGAGTTGTGAGTTGTCGTGCAAGAGCAACAGTGTAGTCTGTACAGTTTTGGTTGCGTTCGGTCACAGATTGCCCGAACTAAGTGATATGATATGTCTGGCTTCAGTTGTTTCCCACACACAGGACTACCCTGGTTGGTACGACCAAGACAAACATCATCAGTAGACAACGATCCAAAACTCCCCCGATGAAGTTTAACAGTCGTACATGCAAATCCGGATAAAAAAATATTCAAATGGCCGCAGACTATGAATTTGCTCGGATGGTTCAATGTTCGCTACCCACAACTTCGCATAAAGTTTGAATATACGATTTCTAGCTGACTCGATCGATGTTTCATGTTGTCTTGCGTAGGGGGTCTGATGTCTTGCGTAGGGGGTCTGTTGTCTTGTGTAGGGGGTCTGTTGTCTTGCGTAGGGGGTCTGATGTCTTGCGTAGGGGGGTCTGATGTCTTGCGTAGGGGGTCTGTTGTCTTGCGTAGGGGGTCTGTTGTCTTGCGTAGGGGGTCTGATGTCTTGCGTAGGGGGTCTGTTGTCTTGCGTAGGGGGTCTGTTGTCTTGCGTAGGGGGTCTGATGTCTTGCGTAGGGGGTCTGTTGTCTTGCGTAGGGGGTCTGTTGTCTTGCGTAGGGGTCTGTTGTCTTGCATAGGGGGTCTGATGTCTTGCGTAGGGGGTCTGTTGTCTTGCGTAGGGGGTCTGTTGTCTTGCGTAGGGGGTCTGATGTCTTGCGTAGGGGGTCTGTTGTCTTGCGTAGGGGGTCTGTTGTCTTGCGTAGGGGGTCTGATGTCTTGCGTAGGGGGTCTGTTGTCTTGCGTAGGGGGTCTGTTGTCTTGCGTAGGGGGTCTGTTGTCTTGCATAGGGGGTCTGTTGTCTTGCGTAGGGGGTCTGTTGTCTTGCGTAGGGGGTCTGTTGTCTTGCGTAGGGGTCTGATGTCTTGCGTAGGGGGTCTGATGTCTTGCGTAGGGGGTCTGTTGTCTTGCGTAGGGGGTCTGTTGTCTTGCGTAGGGGGTCTGATGTCTTGCGTAGGGGGTCTGTTGTCTTGCGTAGGGGGTCTGTTGTCTTGCGTAGGGGGTCTGATGTCTTGCGTAGGGGGTCTGTTGTCTTGCGTAGGGGGTCTGTTGTCTTGCATAGGGGGTCTGTTGTCTTGCGTAGGGGGTCTGTTGTCTTGCGTAGGGGGTCTGTTGTCTTGCGTAGGGGGTCTGATGTCTTGCGTAGGGGGTCTGTTGTCTTGCGTAGGGGGTCTGTTGTCTTGCGTAGGGGGTCTGATGTCTTGCGTAGGGGGTCTGTTGTCTTGCGTAGGGGGTCTGTTGTCTTGCATAGGGGGTCTGTTGTCTTGCGTAGGGGGTCTGTTGTCTTGCGTAGGGGGTCTGTTGTCTTGCGTAGGGGGTCTGATGTCTTACGTAGGGGGTCTGTTGTCTTGCGTAGGGGGTCTGTTGTCTTGCGTAGGGGGTCTGATGTCTTGGGTAGGGGGTCTGTTGTCTTGCGTAGGGGGTCTGATGTCTTGCGTAGGGGGTCTGATGTCTTGCGTAGGGGGTCTGATGTCTTGCGTAGGGGGTCTGTTGTCTTGCGTAGGGGTAGGGGGTCTGATGGAAAAATTGCCTTTTAATGGACTTGGATGGAGAGCCAAGGATAAATTTATGGTAAAGAAAAATGGACCAAGAAAGAAGTTAGTTGTAGAACATCAGTGCCGTCGCAAGGTGTCGTGTAATGTTATCGCATGAGCTGATTGTTTAGTAACTGGTGGTGTTAGTGGACATTATAGCGTAAAGTGTAGTTTCTTGGTCCATTTGTCTTTTAATGGGTTGTCTAACTTGTCTTTTACAGAGGTGTGAGGAAACCTTTGGCTATGCACAATACAAATCAAACATGAGGTCTACTTCCAGCTAAGTGCCCTGATATCAGTCAGCCACACCGTCGTCACAGCTTCTTTGTTACCAGTCACACACTAGCAGTTGTATAGTGTAACATTAATACATGAAACCTACCGTTCTTCCCTGTGCTCTGTGTGGTGGCTGCGGTGGTCCCGGAACCACGCTGCTTGGTGTCATGGGTGAGTGAGCTGGAATGGAGCTTGGATGCGATGCCCAGCAGTCCTGCCATGCATGTGGTAGAGACACGGGAGCACACAATACAGTGCTCAAACACATGTAGACGGCACATAGTGCGGACGTGAACTCTCTCAGTGTGTTGGAAATGTGCACAGGATACGTACATGTCTGAGTCGTAGTAAGTGACTGGGTCACGGAACTCTTGGAACATTGATGGAGAAAAGTAATAATGAGCTTCAGGGCGGACACAAGTGTACGATTGTACGTCAGTGTGGTCCAAGGTGGGGTTTCTCGGCACTTGTGCCAGTGATTGTGAGACTTATCCCCTCATCCCCACCGTTAGGCACAGCATCTGCTGCTAGAGTTTACAAGGTGTTAGCGGCTGTCGTGAGTTCCCTTTGGGAACGGCACGATAATTTACTTTTTTTTACTTCTCGGGCATGCGCTCTTGAGTTTAGTACTTATTTTCATTCAATCTTTCTGCGCACCCTCTTGGTAATGCTAAGGGCATTCAGCTCTTTGCTGTACAAAAGAAGAGAAACCAGCAGCTAGTGGCAAAGCGTTGGAAGATGATGGAAACCTAGATGAACCAGCGAGGAGCTGATTGAACATGATACAAGATGGAGGCAAGATGACGGAGGGTGGAAAGCGACAGTCGACGAAATCACAACCCACCTTGCACTAAGGGCCGTCTTGCTTTGCATATTTGAACTTTTGTTCAATGCTCGCCACTGAAAGCTGGGGATTCAAAATTAATGGAAGGCAAGATTGCAAGAAAACTCGAAAGCTGCTTGAAACGGCAAATGGATACATCTTACCAGAAAGCAACAAGCAGAATAATGGTCAGAGCGCGTGTTGTAGGGACGGAATTAAATTTGTTTGTTCCAAGTAAAAGCTAAACTTGGTCCAAACAGTCCTTAATTAAAGCATTCCGCGCTTGACCGGATTCCGTTTGTTTCTGTGGATTTTCATTCACCGGGCTGCACGCCACTGAGTAGACGAATGAACATTTGTTCCGGTCATGACATCCTGCAGTTCTATGCTTTTCACAGGGTCTGGCAGACACAGGTATCACTGTAGTGGTGTGTACAACAGGTATTTTAGATACACGGTGTACAGCATACATGCAATTCAGTGTGCAATTCAGTGTGATTTACCTCGTATTCCTCTGGTATCTGTGTGTCAAGCATTAACAAGATACAGAAACAAGCAAACGAGTGTCAAGCATTGCTTTACCACAATACCGGTCATGTTCATTCTAAGTACAGTTGAACATCGATTATCCAACCACCTCTGGGCAGACAACTGTTAGGCGGTGTTCAGATAAGGCAAATGTTCCGGATAAGAAACATGTACGAGCGTACATGTACATGTACGACCTTTTTACTTTTCAAAATTTTCGTATTTTTTGAATGGCTCACTACATGCACAGTGCGTACTCTACGGCACGTGCGCCCAAAAAAACTGTTACGGATAATCGAATGGTCGGATAGTCGATGTGCGGATAATCGATGTTCAACTGTACTTCTAAATACATCAGATTAAGAACCGCAAAAGAAATTCAGCCCCTGACTTTGCACCGCATGAAGAACAGAGCAAGCACATTGGTCCAGGTACTATTACGTCCAGGTGAAACAGGGGCTGGGTTTTCACACACACGCGCACGTACACACACTCACAAACACACACACACACACACAGACACACACACACACAAACACAAACACACATACGCTCATATTTTGCATGCACGTGTTCACCCATGCACATACCGGGACATACCTCAAACTGTGAAGAGGAGCTCGACGACGTACTGGGCCTGTTCGACTTTGGAGAGTGCTGAAGATTAAGAAAACACACACATACGCGCACGCACACACACACACACACACACACACACACACACACACACACACACACAAACGTGCGCACGCACACGGCACACGCACACGTGAAGGTCCGTGCGAGGCAAGGCATTTGAGACAAACTCAACTATCTGATTCAATCATTATAAGGACCACGACTGCTCTGTTCAGCTTCAGTCTGGCCCAGCACAATCACTCTTCATAACTAACAAGCGCAGAATTATGGAATTTGAGGTGAGTCGAGATCAAATTCAGTCTGTGTACAGTTTTCCGTACATAAAGGGTTAACACCAATGACTGTCATTCAACATACTATCTAGATATCAGTAAGCTTATCAGTAAGCTACGTAGTAATTACGAAATAGTCGTAGCGAGCTCCAGTGTGGCGGAGCAAACCCTTTGCTATGTAGTAAATATGCACTATAATACTAGTGACATAATTATCATAGTCATTGTCTGTATCATTACATCAAATGAAGAGCTGGCTACACTTTGTCTGTTTGGCTTGGGTGATGCCTGGACAATTGACAGCAACAATAGGGAAGAACAAGGGCAATGAGTGATGTGGTCAGGGCACATTTCAAAGAGTCCTTGACTTCAAGTAACAATTTCAATTGAGCGAGAATGTTTCTTCCATCACCACCAGTGATGGAATTATTGTGACACTCATCATATTTTAACAGTTATAAGTTGACCCCAGTTAAAGCCGACCTTTCCTGTATTTCCCTGCCACTGCACCCCGGCTGTACGTCGACTACCCATTTTACGGTCAGTTCTTTGGTCATTTTAAAAAGGTTGACTCCTAGCCGGGAAAATACTATACTCCTCGCCCTATTTTACACTGACAAGTCGTTTACTGACAAGCAACCAAACACTTTTGATCAATATACTCATACAAGTGGACTGCATTGCGTATAGATTTGTTATACTTTATAGCAGAACTTCAATAGCACAAATGGTGCCGGGTTATAAAGGGACCTCTGTATATGAGATATGAGATACCTGCAAATACTAAGTCCAATTGTGTGTCGCTCCCTACGTGGGAGCTTGCGCTATTCCCGCCGACTTTGAATTCTCACTTGACGGACTCATGACTGCCATCCAGAGCTGTTGAGCACCTCCATGAGCGACCCTGACGCACGCTGCTATCTGGTGTTCACTACGTGTTTGTCGCGCTGGAAACGGAGCATCTCTGTAAGTTTGTATCCCTGGTGATGTTTTGCCTGGAGAGCACTATAGAAGTGGTGCTTTTCAGGCACAATCTTCCTCAGCCTACTCAAGCTCAACTGATGAGGGGTGAATTGCCCGAAACACTGTGTACTGAGCAGGGAGTGATGCTTTCTTGCAGGTTAGCCAAGTGGAAGGTTCGATGGACTTCTCGTGCGCTCTGGATGGCAGTCGTGAGTTTGTCAAATGATAATTCAAGTCGGCAGGAATAGCACAAGCTCCCACGTAGGGAGCAACACACAATTCCCCAATTATCGCCGAAGTCGCACCAATCTCTTCTTTACTAAGGCCAAGGTATGGCAAATTGATCGCAAATTGATCGCCTTAGCCGACCTGATTACTACTCTGTATAGCCACCAACCCTATAGGAGATACACACTGTATAGAATTATCCCTAACACTGAGATTCATCAGTTGTTTGAAAATAGGCAGGGAGAAAGAAGACTACCACCACCAACAATCAGCTAGCGTTGTCCAGACCGAATGCCGGATATGGGAGCCTACCTTTGGTTTAGGTCTCACTTTGCCATTCTTAGCAGCCACCTGCCATACGTCTTCCTCCTTCATGGGCTCATACTGGAGTTAACACATATCACAATCATAATGACGACGCATGACATCATAATGACGACGCATGACATCATAATGACGACGCATGACAAACTTAAATGCTACAGTACTGTTCTATTAGAATTGATCGTGAACTCCAGATTGCTGTATAGTGTAAAGGACACACGAGACGTGTGCAACGGACACCACATCAATCGTTTTACAAAATACAATCGGTACGAGGTCAAGAGTCACCAGGTGCACATTTCATTAAGCACAGCGCAAATAAGCCGAGGCTGTGTGTAGACCTTGGAGTTGGTAGCTGCTTGATATACACTGACGGGCCATCATCGGCCTCTTCACTGACTTCAGTGCCCTTTGCAGAGAGTGCATTCCGTAGAAGGAAAAACAGACAATGATCCACAAGGTAGCTGAACACTTTCTAAGCATATTGCTGACCTACATCATCTTCACACTGTCAACATCCATAACTGACCATAAGGCAATGCAAACTGAACCAAACCAGACCCTGTCTGAGCTATAAGGTTACTTGTATTCCATTTGAGCGAAGCACAGCGACAGCTGCTACGGGCCAGCACACAGTGTGATAGCAAGAGTTTGAAAACACGTACCTCGTCATCGATCCCTTCATCAGGTCTTGCCATTGGTATGTATCCATATCTATCAGCGTCAGGATCGGCCCTGATGTCATTGGCGCCACCGTTATGTATACCCCCGTTGCGGTAACCATTGGGAAGGGTTTGTGCATTCCCTGACACTGGCATGTCCTCAACAGAGTTAGAATGACGAATGGTTCGGTCGAGATTGGTCGTGTCCTGTTGCCTTGTCTGCCACGCAGTTGTTCCGGTGAATGTTGCCTGTCGTGTCACTGTGCGAGAATCAGACGACTTTGAAGCACCAACATCTTGACCAGGCACGTACGCTACAGAAGTTGTTCGAGACGGTAAGTGGGGACTATATGATACTGACGACTTGTCAGGCCGGGGTGGCGGAGTGAGTTGCTCTTTTTTCTTCGTTTCCCTGTTCTTAACGTTAACATACCGCCGGTCATCAGCTGGCTTCGGCTCTGAAAGCACAATAAGGGATTATCATTGCACTGCATAAGCCGGCACATGGTGCATGGTGCATGGTGCATGGTAATTCTACACTAGAAATCTTAGCACACTTCGAGTGGCAGATGTGCATACCATGTGCATACCATGAGTATTCTATGTTATTATGTAACCTCTAAGCTATGCAAAAGACGTTACTTTAGTAGTGTCTTGGCGCTAGCCAGGGTCTATATCACTTTATTTCGTATGTCTGTGTGATTGCTTGATTCAAGAGACTCTGAGCAGCAATGGATGTGTTTCCTTGGTTGGGACCAAGCCGCTTCCATTGTGTATACTACATGCGCATATCATGGGGGGGGGGCAAACTTCCACACACTCAGAAATTCAGAATCATGCCCTCCAGCAACAGAGCCACTGATTTTGTGAAAGACAGGCCGTAACATGCAATGAGGTAACAAACAAGAAAATGCTGATCACAGTTCCAATTGTGCCTGTCACACCTTCCGTTGTAATCTGCGCGCGCACAGCATGCAGTGACTGTGTTCAGCTCTTCGGCCACATTGCCCAATATCCTACACACACTCACACATACATGCCTTACATTCATGCAGACATGCAAGCATGCATGCATGCACGCACAAACACAGCAGAGTGCAGCATTTGGCAGAGTAAGAGAGACATACCTTCTTTCACCGGCTCAGTAATGACAAGAGATGTCTGTCCAAGGGCATTATCGCGCGTCGATCTGATCTTCTCACACCACTGCTTGAGATCATTGTATGATGGACACTGTAGGATGAAAAGGCGCTGCGGTGTTAACACTCGAATACAGTAGGAACGACCAGGGAAGTTCTCCACAGCCTCAATGCTATCGCAATCCAGCAAGTTGATGATGCCTCGCGAAGCCTGCCAGTCATCTTGTTCACTGGAGTAGTAGTCAAGGCGACCAGATTCAAACAATCGAAAGTACCGCTTCTTCCAGGACTGTAGAAATAGGCAACACATGAATGGAGCATATGAGTATGTATCAAGCAACAGAAAAAGGCATTACATAAATATAACACTTATCCGGACCTAGAACCTCGGTCTTGGTTTTCTTTCTTTTTTTCATTTATTTTAATTCGTTGCCTCAACAGCACAATGTACACCTTCAAAGAGGGTCGAACAGGGAACAAAATAACTACCGCCACTCTATCCATTCATTGGTTTGAGGGAAAGATGCGAATGGTAAAAGTCTGAAGGAAAATCGACTGTCACCGCCAGGACTCAAACCAGGGCACTCTATCGGTGTGTTTAACCAGGGCACTCTATCGGTGTGTTTAACCAGGGCACTCTATCGGTGTGTTTAACCAGGGCACTCTATCGGTGTGTTTAACCAGGGCACTCTATCGGTGTGTTTAACCAGGGCACTCTATCGGTGTGTTTAACCAGGGCACTCTATCGGTGTGTTTAACCAGGGCACTCTATCGGTGTGTTTAACCAGGGCACTCTATCGGTGTGTTTAACCAGGGCACTCTATCGGTGTGTTTAACCAGGGCACTCTATCGGTGTGTTTAACCAGGGCACTCTATCGGTGTGTTTAACCAGGGCACTCTATCGGTGTGTTTAACCAGGGCACTCTATCGGTGTGTTTAACCAGGGCACTCTATCGGTGTGTTTTACTGCAAATACTACTACATGTACTCTTATGCCAATTTTCGTTGAAATAGTGACGTCATATCCCAGATCTCTGGCCCTTCCCCATCAAAATGTCCGTGATTCAGAGTTACAAAGTAGAGTAAGTCCTCTCTGCACACAGAGTGCTCAATGCCCGAGAGGGCAGAGCTTCCTTATCAGTTATAGGTAGAACGGAAGCTCTGCACACAGAGTGCTCAATGCCCGAGAGGGCAGAGCTTCCTTATCAGTGATAGGTAGAGTAGAACGGAAGATATTGTCGGGTAGAGAGCCAAGGATTAATTTATAGAAAAGAAAAGGACCAAGGAACTACAAGTTACACTATAATGTCCACTTACACCATCAGTTACTAAACAATCAATCAGTTTTAGTAAACTTTTAGAACGTCAGTACCGTTGGTCAGTGTCGTGCAATGTTATCGCACGAGCTGATTGTTTAGTAACAGGTGGTGTTAGTGGACATTATAGCGTAACTTGTAGTTCCTTGGTCCTTTTCTTTTCTATAGAAGATATTGTTTATTTATTTTTCATTGAAACTCAGAGTATTATGCTTGCGGGATCATCATGCAAAAATTAGTCTAGTATGAAACAGGGCATCGGGTCATGTTCAAGTAGAATTATGCAAAGGAAAGTAATGGGAGCCACGCATATACATGTACCTGCACTCACGTTTGCACCCACACCCACACAGACGTGCTCGTGCAACAAACAACATTTCCAAGTTATGGGCAGTGCCTGGTCCCAGGCTGATCGGAAAAGAGAGATAATATGAATGTATACTTGAAATACTTTCTCAAGTGATAGGTTTCAGTGACATGCCGCCTGGCCATAGAATGAGGCTGCAACATGCTGAGACTGAACGCCATGACAATGGTCACCCAGCATGCAACAACTGGTGTGTGTTGCCAAGAGCACACCAGCAGTGCAGTCAAGTGAATGCTGCACATCTAGCAATGCAGGCATTTCGACCATGCCAGTTGTTGTCCCTTGTCCATGTGCGCAGACTCTTAGCGGAATGTTCATATTTCATTTCAACTCATGTACAACGAGTGGTAATGGCCGTTGTAAGATCCCTTGGGATGGAGGGGGCACTATACTTTTACTTCTTTTTTTCAGAAGTCCTGTAGCACCCTACTCATGAACAAATTTACACTGGCTACAGTACCTAGTGCCTTGCATACATGTACCATAGGTACAAGGAAAGCTGCATGTGCGGCCAACTGCCCAATGAACAGAACTCTGCAGAGCGTTTTCTGCAGAGCATTTTAACGTGTGAGTGAGGGAGAGAGAAGGAGAGAGAGAAAGAGAGATAGGGGGAGGGGGAAGAGTAAGAGGTCCATTTGATCTTTGAAATTTCATGGCAAAGCATTGTAACGTTGTCCGATAATTGCTTCGGCATGTGACAGACTCTAGTTGGACGTCTCTCTCTCTCTCTCTCTCTCTCTCTCTCTCTCTCTTTCTCTCTCTCTCTCTCTCTCTCTCTCTCTCTCTCTCTCTCTCTCTCGGTCTCCCTCTCCCTGGACGTGGTGCTTTATTCGATGCCGCCCTTTCTGCCATCATTTTCCTTATGTGTATGCGTGATGACATTACGATTTACGAAATGATGTCAAATGAATGTAGCGGCAAGGTCCAGCTGCTTCCTGCCGTACTCCAGCCTGAGGGACGTGCAACAGGCAAATGCATGCCTCAGCAAACATGCTTGCTTCCTTCCTGCCCTACATCTCCTCTCCTTGTAGCTGGCTGTACACGTTTACACGATCTCGCTATCCTGTTAGCTCTCACCGCGCGGTGCTACTCAACAACGATGCTAAACAGCAACGTTGAACCAAACAGGCAAGAATGTCGCCATTTGTTTTTTTATCGAGTATCGACGTCCGGGCAAAGCACGCCATTCAGGTTGTGATTGACTCGTGGATTCTCGCATGAGACCGAGAGAGACTTGTGAAGACTTCCGCTCGCATCAATCCCTAGGCGGCAGACAAACCAATGATGTGTCTGAGCCACGGGCAACGGGTCGGGGCCGGAATTTGAGCATCCACCACCATGCCCAAATGAATCAGATCGAAATTCCTCTACACTCTCGGCGTTCCAGGTCTTAGGCATGACGAGGACGGACACAATCATTAGTGCACTATTCCCATTGTAGTGCGCTACCTGTTGCGAAACAACCACACGTGTGTGAGTATGAGATACCAATCTTATCGCCAGCATGCAGAACGCTGCCAAAGAGATCAGGAGAGTGCAAATCCAAGTCCGTAAACTGGTCGCGAAGGTTTCACCAAGGCAATTGGCATTGAATTGCTCGAATGGCATGCACAGTTTTCAATGCAGCATTATCTTACCGCGAACCACTGCTCCAGAGGAGGCGACTTGACCAAGTAACCCTCCTTGATAATCTTTCCGCTCATGACTCCTCCGCAGCCTGCTGGCGGGCCACCTCCGTCGAGCCTTTTCCTCTCCGACACAGATACGCAGGTCTGAAAACAACAACATGTACGAAAAGAAATGCCTCCTCCTGTTTGCCCTGGTACCGTGTCAGGGCCACGCTCCTTGGACTTGGAGTAAACGGTTGCTGATGCCCAAAGATCCTGTGACTTCACACATGTCTAAATCGATCCGTGGTTACACGGTACTGCAGGTAGGTAAGCAGTGTAGCAGCCATGGGATGTACTGTATGTAGTTGATAACCAGTCATGCATGAATGGTGCTAATGATGCTCCACCGCACACAGTCCAGAACTCCAGATAGAAGAGAACTGTCGATCAGTGTGCACAATGCTACGTCATCATCGTGGGCAACGACATGCATGCACTGAATTGAACTAAACTAAAGTGAAGAGATGATATGAACGGTGGTGGCATGGTGCCGGGATTGATGCCAATGATGGTATGAAATACTTCCGTGACTTCAAACTTCAGTCATCTCACTCGGATGGAGTGGGACAGTGTCGATGTAACGGGCATGTAAGCAGTGCTAGTAGTGCAAAGAAGGTACATGTACTTCAAAGTACATGTACAAGAGAAGAGAGCTAGAGAGAAAAGGGAAACCCAGGAGGAGTCCAGGTGGAAAAGGAAAAGGAAAGACATTGAAAGGATCGGTCACGCAATACGGTTAATTAATTCCCATCGTGGATAGGATAATAATTCAATTGACATCCCTACGCAAGAAGTAGGTCTTTACCATAAATAAAATATTTAAAAAATTACCAAGTATGGCTGCAAAACACGCAGAACACCCTATTATTGATGCAGCCAGCCTACAAATCATGTAAACGGCATTGATCGAGAAAATGATGAGCGTGCTCGGCGGCTCAAATAGGAAGCCCTGCATCCACGAAAACACGTTACAAACCATTTCAATAGCAAGAAAGAGTGCTACTGCCCTGGTGCAGGTGGTGGAAATATGGTTGCAGTCTGTATACGAGAGAGAACTGACTGGACTGCCCAGTAAGCTACGGCCATGGGCAGTATGCTGTATGGCTTGTCTGACTGCTTGCAGACCGCTGCGAAGATTGTAGGAGTATGATCACTGTGTGACTGCGAGTTTGTGAGTTGAAAAATCTACTACGTAACGACGGTAACGTTCAAAAGAAGCACCTACATGCATTACGGTACTAACAATAACATGAATGATGAATGATGAATGGCGAACCAAAATTTAATGTAGATGACATTTTACCGGTACATGTAGATGGCATCACCGACTTACCGGTGCACAAATAAACATCAACGAATTTTCAATATTCGACGAGGAGACAACATTGTTTTCGCATCGTCTCCATCGCTTACATTGTAAAAAAGTAATCCCAGTGTCACTTCAGCTCGTCCTCTTTATTGCCATTACGAATTTTAACACCATCTTTACTGCACTAGCCATTGTGGTTTCTCTACACATGAATGCGTCTCCAGTACGGCAGTAGATCTCGACACTAGTCCGCGATGTATCATCAAAAGACATCATACATACGATACCGGAACGTTGGTTACTGTTACAGTCGCATCGTGCATGGCCCGGTTGCCACATTAGTCAACTGGATATCGCTGAACTCGGATGGTGAGCCAGTATAATTATGGTAAAAAAGGAGAAGGACAAAAAAACTTGTGTTGGAGCTAGGTGTCAGGTTGTGAATGTCTCAGTAGTACTCCTTGTCAGTGTTGTGCCATTTTGTCGCACTCGCTGACTGTATAATTATGCCTTTATGGTCTGGTTACGTTGGTGGGCGGCAGGGAGTCGTAAAAGCCCCCTGGTGGACAGTTAGTCATACATGTACATGTAACTCGTAACATTTTGTCCTTCTCCTTTTTTACCATGAATAATCGATGAGTGAGTGACGTATGGAGGCTAACCAAACTGTTACGAGAGTAGGATATCTCTGAATACTTTAAAAAAACTCTTTTGGTGAGACTCGGGTGGAGAGACTCTGGTGGAGAGCCAAGGATTTCCATGTGTAAGAAAAAGAGGACCAAAGAGCTACAAGTTACGCTATAATTATTATTATCCACTAACATCACCACTGATTCACCTGTTACTTTACAATCAGCTGATGCGATAACATTGCACGACACTGACCTACCGTACTGACGTTCTACACCTAACTGGCAATCAGCTCTAGCACATCTTGGACTCTTTTGGTGTACATTAGTCATTTTGTTGTTGTAGTTTGCATCGGTGGTGTGGGTGAGCGGGGTTTCCGGAAGAAGGAGTCGCTATAGTCATAATGGACTGTAGAACATTCTACTGGTTACTCCCGTCGAGCATGAGGAGTTGGTCTGGGTTGTGGGGACAGCGCAAGCGAGCTGTTGATTGATATCTGCTAGCCTAGACTGAGAACAGTTAATTGTGGTAACAATCATAATTATCAGAACAGATACGATATTCGGAATAGTAATAAGACAAATAGATGAGTACAGCACTGAGCGACTGTCTGGAGTTAGCAGATCTGTGGATCTGCGGGTTCTTGAGATGGCAGGTGTCACCATGGGCTTGACTGCTCTGACGTCAGTAGTATTCCTGTGCGAACGGCTGAATGTAGCCATGTGTGGGGATATACACATGTATGATGTAGCTCAATACTCTGTCTGTCATTTTGTCACTGCTCAGTCAACACTGCAGTCACATGATGTCATGTCCCTTTGTGGTGCTTGTGCTGCGTGCAGTTGGCTATATGCACCTCATTGCATGCTGTCTATGCGCCTGTACAATAATAATAAGGCCAAAACAAAAAATAGGCTTGTTTCCGGTCGGCAACCCCTCAAAAAGGAGACTCGGTCGGCCGGAATGAAACTTTTTTTGGATACTTTTTTTGGTTCCTCAATCGTTGTGGTATTGATGGACAAGAGCACCTACACATGTACATTGTACATATATCATGGCAAGGATCAATGTCAAAGTTGACTGACTCACTGTTCTTGTACAGCATGTGGTGTATTCCTGTTTTCGTACATCCTGAGAAATCAAGCAAACAGTTCGAGTCCTTCCAGCTCCGTTATTCTAGCTCGTATCGACCCCATAGGTTTTCGAGCCGACAGCTGAGAATCTCTGCTACCTTGTAGGTGTTTCGATTGTGGAATTCGGTTGAGATTTGACTGAGCTATGACTCGTTGAGTGCACTTGCACACATGGCATTGCCACCGTTTGTATACATTTGGGACCAAAAAAAGTTTCAGAATTTGGGAAAAAGTGGCCCGGTCGGGCGACCGGAAACAAGGTCATTATTTGTTTTGGCCTAATAATAATAATTTTAGAATTGCAATCAACAGAACGAGCTGAACCGATATTTTCACAAAGGCTTTTATTGTATTCAAAAAACGAGTGGATACGAAGACAGTGAAGAACATGGAAGAAAGAAAAAATGTGATATGGAAGAAATGATGAACAAAAAATGTTGTACTTCGAACTAGTTTTCGCACAACACTCCTCAGGAAGCTACGTTGTGCTAATGAAAAACAATCCAGAAAGATACTAATAAAGAGAAATGGAGTGAGAAGAAACAACACCTATGAAAATGATAATGCTAGCACTAAGGTAATAACAGGAAAAACTGCGAAAGCACTTAACGAACTTGTAAGGACTACTAGTATACTGTGACACAAGATATGACACCATGGCCAACCAGAGCCAAACAGACAGAACAAGCTGCTACTAAAACAATTTCAAACGAATAATGCTGTCCTTCTGGACACACAGATTAGGCTTATGAATACGTTGACAAACAGCTTCTAACACACTCAACTGCAACTTGTAACCATGACGAGGTTTTTTGAATTCAATAAAAGCCTTTGTGAAAATGTCGGTTCAGCTCGTTCTGTTGATTGCAATTCTAAAACTATTGTCGCCTCGACGCCTATTTAAATAATAATAATAATAATAATAATATTAACTGGTTTTGAGGGAAAGAGACAATAATAATAATAATAATCTCTTTCCCTCAAACCAGTTCAAATAATAATAATAATAATAATCAACGCAATAAATAGAGTAAGCTGCGCACTCAGTACAAACACCATAAGCAAAACTTGTTTTCATGTAAATAAAGAAGCTTGTTCCTAAACGTTTTCGTCGCCATCTCATCAGAGGATTACTGGCAAATCAACAAAAGCTCTTAACTCAATATATATACGCACAATGCAAGTAATAATTTAGACCCTAACTAGCGCGATAAAATGAGAGCTGAAAGAAACATTACACCATTCAACGATATCAGGTGACAACAGATGCGATAAATTCACCACTAGAAAGTTACCATGCAACCACAAACGAGAACTACTGATCTAAATTCACAAACAATTTCAACGTAAACGTAAGCTTTTGTTGATTTGCCAGTAATCCTCTGATGAGATGGCGACGAAAACGTTTAGGAACAAGCTTCTTTATTTACATGAAAACAAGTTTTGCTTATGGTGTTTGTACTGTAATGGGTAGCCGAGTGGTAGGCGCGGTGAAATCAACAAGAATTACTTTTATTCTACTTTCAGGTACACACCTGAGATATATTCGTTCGTGAAAGAAGAAGCGGCAAAATAAATAACTTTCTCTCCGGTGCTCACCTAGAGGTTGAATCCTTATTCTTTGAGTTAGCTTTCATTGCTATCCAATCTAATCTAATCTTCTCTTCATCAAAACAGAAATGCGCAGCCGCTTTTATGCAGCAGACGACGTACGCTTACATACGGAGATACACTAAATATACATCAGGCAAAGCTCCGTATTAGTTCCGTACTGCTTCCGTATTGGTCGGGCAGGGATACTACACCCTCCCTTCCTACAGATAATCACGCCCTCGTGATTTTCAAAAAATTAGTGAAGAGTTACGAACACAGCGTCAACCGGAAGATGGCAAATTATATCGGAAATGATAACGTTTAGAGTAGACAGAATAAATGAACTGATAACAAATCATAAAGTAGAAGCACACCAGGTTCACACGATCTCACGGGGTCAAAAGGGGAAAGAACTGTCCTCCAAATAGGACCTGAAAATCCACAGCACTCTTGCTGCACAACGCTGGCACAACCCGCCAGGAACATCGCAGTTCAAAAAC